ATTCTAAAAGAATTTTATTCCAGGATAGAAAAGCATGGCATATCAACAACTTGTTGACCTGGCAAAGGTATTTTTTCCTGTGCTTCACATAAAACTTGGACTGATGAAATGTTTTGTGAAAATGGTGAAAAAGGAAGGTCAAGGTTTTTTTTCCTTTATTTGAGACAGATGTTCCCAAGAAAAACTGATGCAAAGATGAAGGAAGCCACTTTTGTTGGTTCACAGACCAGATATGTCATCAATGACAAGTGGTTCAAAGATCTGCAGTGGGACGATGAAGCTCAACATTTCACTGAAGATTCATTTTCTGCAGTCATATTTAGTCTTCCTTCCCAAAAATCTAGGGGCAACCAGTGACAAACTCAGTAAAAAATTTCCACCATTGCCACAATAGAAAAATGATATCCATCAATGCTGGCTGACTGTTGTTGGACACTGCAGTGAGACACTGTGTACAAACAAAAATCAGCAGCCAAACCTTTTTGGTCCTGTTGAATTCATATGTGTCAGAAACATGTGATTAAATACATTATAGTCATTAAAAGTTAATTTCATATTTCTCAAGATTCCTACATGATATAGTCATTTGGAAATGTTATTTGTGTTCAGTTTGAAGGGGGCTATCTTAATCACCAAAAGTTTTTCAGGAAGCAAAACTTTTGAAAAAAATTGTATCCGGTATATCTAGTAAGATTCTAGAGCAGCTTTGCCGGACAAAAAGAAGTAGAGCAGTTTTTCTGGACAAAAAATAGGGACTACATACAAGCAGCTACAAAAGTCTTCTAAAACTTATGGTTCACTTGCTTTATAGTGTCCAGCTGGGACTATATACCCATTATAAGTCATGTGAAGTATAAACTAATAAAACATCCATCTTGATTAAATTCCAGTTTTCCACACCTCACACTTTCACTTACTGATCTCTGCCTATTCCTTCAAAGCCATATCTTAAAGCCACCTTACTTTGCTATTAATGGCATCTGCTGAATTACACACCTTCAGTACAGCGAGTCACATTTATATGAGCATCTCATTAAAGTCCCTCCCTCTTGCAAATGTGTGTTCCCCAATAATGCTCAGTCTTCAAAGGGAAAACATTGATATTTTGAAAAACTGTATGAAGGTGGAAAACAACATGTCTGTTTTTTTATGATAAATCTCCCTCCTTTCATCCCTGTCTCCCCACCTGCACACAAATAGACACAAATTAGAATATTCATGATCATTATTTTTATCAAAAGGACATTCATGGAATGCATTTACATAATTAATAAACTGAAGGAAATAACAATGTGCTCAGGGGCATGCCACAAGCAGTAAGAGGATTAATTTGTTTAACAAATTGCTGAATTATTTGGTCAGCCCTACTGAACAATAAATTATTCTAATAGCACTAATCATGTGTTTTTCTCTTTCCATGTATAATTGAGACAATCAAAATATAAGGTGCTGTCCATTTGAACTGTCCAACATATAATTTAGTAACACTTTTTAAACAATTAATAAGGTTAAGAAAAAAATAATTCAACTGAGATAAAACTATAAAGAGACAAATACTAGGCTTTTGTGATCTATGTTAATTATGGTAGCTGATTTTTTAAATTCTGTTTTTGCCATTTATATCCTGCCTTTCTGCCTACAGGACATTCTGATATCAATCTTATATGCTTCTTTACATGAAAAGTTGAGCTATGATTTATAATAAACCGATTAATATTAATTGGAAATTGTTGCATCTCAGTTTTCAGCTGTTTTAACTGAATCTTTAGAAGCTTAATTACCAAATAGCAAGCAGAAATATATTGTGGTAAATAAACATTATAATATATAGTATGTACATAAATTCTGAATTTATCTATACTTAAGTCTTACAGTGCACTTTTTTGAATGCCACAAATCCCCCATATTCTTTGAAATCATACAAGTAGTGTTTGCGTTACGATCACTCATTCAATGAGCGTTCAAACTTATGATGGCACTGAACAAGCGGTATTTGTGACCAGTCCCTGTGAAGTTCCATGTGTTACAGTGCCCCCAATGTCACATGATCTTGATTTCTCTGCCATCTTATGCAAGCAAAGTCGATAGGGAAGCTAGCAAAAAGTTAGAAGTGGCTCCTGCTCCTGACACTTTTTCACCTGCCTATNTCGGCTCTATAAATATAGCTAATAGTTTGGGCAATGCCCAGCCTGCAATCAGATAATCTTGCCTCTTCTGCACATAACTACTTTGAAAGTTTCAATCAATTGCTTCACTGGTCTTACTATACTTTATTATTTTAGTTTATATATAAACCACCTTAAACAGAAAAATGGATTAAAAATAACTTAAACTCCTGTAGAGATGTATTGTCTAAATGAATGATTCTGTTTGAAGAACAGTATTTCTAGCAACACACATTGCTGGAGTTTTTTCAAATTGAATTCACTGTAAACAGCATTTTAATTTTGAACAGCTGTAAAATTCAGTGTGGTTATACTTGATTTGAAATCATATATCAAGTTACCCCAAAGCAGTTACATTTTCAGTAAAATTCTTCTAGACATTTAAAAGCAGAAATAAATATTTCTTTTAAGCTGAATTTAACTGAGTATGTATCCTGAAATATAAAAAAACAACATATTTTTAATATACTCAAAGCAGTGGTAAGTATCTTTCCATGCCTGGAAATGCCACTGGGAGAAAGAACTCAAGAGGAATGAGACTTCTAAAAGAGGCAATATTAAATAGCAATTGAAAACAATTCTATAAAGGAGAGAAAATTGAAGACAGCAAAAGAGGCCAATGTACAGTAGTTGCACACATACAAAAAAATCCCCCTTAGTGAAGATCTGAGAATAAAACAAGGACACAAATAGCAGATAGGAAGAGGTACAAGTGATTGAGAAACAGTACATGCAGGTGGCCTAGATCTATAGTGATGTTGTCAGGTGTGCTGAAGATGAAAACAAGCTGAGATTGTGATGGAACTAAAGACAAAAATAGCTTCTGATATATTCAAAATCAAAAAAGGAAACAGCATGTCAGATACTCAATGCAAAGAGAAAAACACTATCAGCACGAAGTGGCAAATGAAGACTTGAGACTGAGAGAAATGTGGTCAGGAACCATCTATTTACTTTGCATTCAAATCTCTAAGACAGATTGTTTCCTAAGGTCTAGAATGTTGTATGATTTCCAGTTAGGTGGACCTCTAAAGTTAACAAGTTAGCAAAGAAATATTGCAAGAAACTTGCTGATGGCTTAACTGAACCTAAATTCTGAAAAATACAGATGTTCCTATATTTAAAAAGAAGAAAAGTGACCCAGAGTATATAACAGCTAATTCAAAGTTAATTGATCACTGAACAACAAAGATTTTCCTTTCTGGGGTGATTTTTATAGATTTTTAGCTGCTAATCATGAAAATAATCTGTAATTTACTCTATCATGTACCATTTTATNTCCATGAGGCACAGTGGTGATACCACTCCCTTATTATACTACAGAATGCCCTTTGGCAGGAAATATGCACAAATCTATGCACATTTGCTATAGATTACCTATAGCAAATGTACACAGATGTGCACATAATCCTGTTATAACCACTCATGGCCAATCTTTTCCTAAAAAGGCTTTCATGTTCAACAATAAATCTTCAGTTCAAATTTCACACATTATGCAAAACTCTCACTTTAAACCAGGCTCAAAAATACATTATTTCATCTCCTCCAAAACAAAAACATGTAACTGGCTGTCCTTTTAGACCATGTCCACAGTAAATTTAATAATCTGTTCTATGAAATACAGATTATTATTTCTTCTTCCACACATGGAAAGGGGTTGGTCTTGTTACAGGTTTTTTTATGTGCTGCATCTACAGATATGCTATAAATAAGAATAATGAGAAGAAAGAGAAGGGCATTAAAGGGAAAGAGTAACATTTATAACTATTCTCTGCTGTCAAGTTCTCAAACTTTCGGCTCTGTTTTATGACAAATAAATGTCCCAGCAACAATCTTTGTATTTTTATGTCCTGTAATTTAATTTCTTTTAAATGCCAAAAAGGAGCTTAAACTATTACTATTAAAGCTTTGCATTATAAGTGAAATCAATCATCTTGCTGCAATGACATTTCTTGAATAATTCATTGGTAACTCTCAATCACCTCTACACAAAGCATAGCTATTTAAATAAAACATCATCCTAAAATCTCATTAGTACAGAGCTTTCTAGTCCTCATCATTCTTGATGGTACAGTCTTGTTATTATGCTACTTACATTTTTACCCTTTTATCTACAAACAGCCTATCATATAAATCAATTTAATATTGGTCCACAGCACCGCAAGTCTATGACCATCCATCCATCCATATGGTTCGGTTACTGTTTGTACATATTGATTTAAAAATAGAACATCATACTGGAGTGTTGTAAATTGCTTACTAACAAGAATGGCAATGTTCATGGGGGAGAATAGCAATACCAGTGAAATAAAACCAAGGATCCACATCATTCTTGTGTTACCTAAATTCATGCATCAGACCAGAACAAGAAGTAATACTGAATAGATAATTATTTTTTCCAGTACAATCCTTCATCCCCAATGAACATGCCAACATTTCACAGTATTTCCATTTGGCATTTTGACAAATGGAATGAGGTTCTACTTACCCTGTGTTTTTCTTTAATTTTCTTCCTGTATTCCTCTTTGTCAAATTTATCCTCTTCCTGAAGTCTTTCTTTTGCTTTGTCTAGATTGATCCCATTGCAATCATCGCCATCTTCCTCTTTGTCCAGGATAGACTTTTGTGCTGGTGGCCACTGCTGAATTAACTGAATCACAGAAGAAGAAGAAAAACATTTTAGGACTGCTGTTTCTATTCTACTATTTAAAAGGAGCTCTGGATTGCTATGAAGACCAAAAGACATCAGACCTGCGCAACAGGGAATAGTTACAGAAATATAATTTTCAGGCAGAGAAGCTAATAGAGGAAATAAAAACTGAAGCGAGGCTCTGAAACATGATATTGTTTAATTAAAGAGGGTGGTTCAAAAGTCAGTTTGTATGAGGTGTGCAGACTCCACAAGAAGTAGGCAGTTCCAAATAACTGGGCCTTGTACCACAGAAGGTTTATAGGTCATAACCATCACCTGGGATCATAGCCAGAAGCAAACTGGCAACCAGTGCAGCTCACTGACCAGGGATATCAAATGAACATACCAAAGGGGACTTTAAGGACAGCCCAAATACAATGCAGTCATAACTGAATCATGAGGTGATTAGAAGATTAACTGTCCAAAGAGTCTTCCAATTCATTAAAAGGTACAACAGATGAAGGTCCTCTTGGCCANGAATGGGAGATATGGGTCACAAACTACTCCAGATTAAACATCAGTGACATTGTTCTTCTCTTTTTTTACCATCTTTAGACATGTCAGTAACCCAACTGTGACTTGTTCAATTCTTGTATATTCAGTGTAAATACCTTGACTCTGTAAGTCAGTACTCAATTTTCTACCGCCTCCAGCCCAATTTCCAAGCTACTTTGTTGTGACCTTCTATGCTGTACCCTGTCAACCTATGTCACTTGCCCATTTCTCTCAAAACCCAGTTTCTTTGCTTAAAACACTACCGCTGAAAAGGAGCTGCAACACTCTATTAATAACGACCTGGGAGAAAGAAAGAGGTGTGGAGATGAAACAAAGAAAGGGCATGGGGCAAGTTCAGACAATTGCCAAATCAGAAGATGAAAATAGATTTCGGGGGGGGGGGGTATTAAAAATTCATCAGAGACTATTCCAAGCATAGGGAGACATTGCTACACTGTTCTATTTTGGTGACATTCATCTATCACCCTTGTATAAATTAAGCACAACACAGAAAAACAAGAAAGGCAAGAGGGCAAAATCATCAGTGCTACAACTGTGCAAATTCTTCTGCAAAGACTTGCATGGGAACAAGAGACAAATCTCTATAAACTGGAGATTGCAGAACAGAGGTACTTGATCAGTTTTGCCCATTGAGAGAGAAAGTATATGGAGCGAATGGCATCCCGTTTCATCGAAAAACAGTGGAAATACACATCCAGTGCATTTTTTAAACTGTCATTTTCCATGCCCAAAGAACATACACATCAATTTTATAATTACAATTAATACAATAAGTGTACTATTTGCATGAGGATATTTATTAATCCATATCCACTAACTAAAAAGCAGGGCACATTGAGAATAGATCTGCTGAACAAAACTCCGCATTGGTGACAGGAAGGACATCTGGCCATTAAACANTGATCAGCCCTTAAAATCGTGGCCCTCGCTGTAACCCATGGTCATGTGATTGCCATTTGCTATCTTCATAGTCAGCTTCCAAAAAGTAAACATCAATGGGAAAGCCAGAAGGATGTCACAAGTTGTGGCCATGTGACATTGTGCTTAATGAGCCACAGTGATTCATTGAACAACTGCAGTGGGGATGAGTTGTAAGTCAGCACGATGTTTCACTTACTATTTGCAATGCTTAGCAACAGAGTTGTTGGTCACAATTGCAATCAGTAAGTGAAGACTATCTATATTTTATTAATTTAAAGTAATGTATAAAAAGCAGTATTGGTAGGCTTAGAGAGAAGGGCATAGCAAAGTAAAAAGAGATGCCAGCATTTCACTTCTCCCAATTTTGGAATTTAAAATTGCATTTTACCCTGTCTGCAAATTTCCTAAACAGAATAATAAGTTATTTTCATAAATTATAAATATACCTGCAAGTTCTAGCTACACAACACTAACTAGATTATAATACTGGAAAAACTAAAAACATTATGCATCCACAAAACATTTCAGAATCATTGCAGTGCAAAGAAAATTTAAAGGCCAGACTTAAAATAATTTATTTTGGATACTCAAATTAGAGGTGCTGTGATTGTTTATGAAGTTAGTGCAAGTTAAGCTTCCATTTTAATACTCAATGTGATATAAATAGACTTTGGGATCCTATGTCTCTTTATCCAATTCTACATTCTATAATCAATCATTTCACACTGAGACAAGATCATCTCTTTCCTTTTATTATCCTAACAACACTAATAAAGATTGCTAAGGTGTATTCTTCTGTGGGCAAAATTATCTTCTGTGATGTGCAAAGCTTTAGAAAGAAGTTTATTAGATACGGGTGGATTCTTGTAAAACTGCAGATGCTTTTCACAAATCACCAGGTGGTACAGTGCTGCCCTACAGCGTTAGCTATTTATTCAAATTGTCATATGAACCATCCTATAATGGCAGGGTGGGTTATGTTTCTATGTAGATAAGAATATCTAAATATGTTTCTACCTAGATAAGAATTCCTGGTTGCAAAGATGACTCTAGTCTGACAGGGTGACAAAGAAAAGGAATGGAAGATGGGACCTATTTTAATAGAATAGGCTTGACCTTCAGTTAAGCTATGAAACTGAAATTGCAAAAAAAAAAGTTTAAATTATGTAATTTATGCAAGTATGTATAAATGAGGTTATTACAAAAATGGCAGTCCTCTGGTAATTTAATATTTCACACTGCCAAAATAATTTGACGTGTTTTTTTTTAATGAGCAACCAGGCAGAACCAGTTATTTTGTTTTGGGTTTTTTGCCAACTCCAATGAACAAGAACATTTTTCCTACATTTATTTGCTTAATTGATTGGTCTGTCACCCATCTCACTATAAAAAAGTGACTCTAGATGGCTTGCCAATAAATACCATATATAAAAATATTTTTAAAAATATTTAACACATCTGCATCTTAAATCTCTGTTTACGCTTAAACAAGGATTTCATAAACGTAAAGTATTTTTAAATATATTTTATACTAGCCAATAACCCGACGTAGCCAGGGTATTTATTTATAGGGGAGAAATGTCCGGACCAAACATATTTTCTAATGTTGGATTTTCCTCCTTACCAGAGGGAAACCCCTAGTGGAGTACTATGAAGCCGTTACCATGGCAACTCTACTGCACTGAACAGTAGAAGCCATTTTACGGCAGCACAGTAGAAGCAGTGGTGGGTTCCTAACCGCTTTACTACAGGTTCGCTGAGAGAGCATTTTGCGCGATGTTTTCCAAGATGCTCACTTTGAAATCTGCAGACCTTGAAATACTGTNTCCCCAATCAGTTGGTTTAATCAAAGATAATCATTCCAAGCTATCAGGCATATACTGGAAATCAGGGGTGGGTGGGTAGGGGTAGGAAGCATCACGGTCTTCAAAATTCAAGCTACGCCTCTGAAAGGGAAAACAAAAAAAGTGATGGGACAAGAACAACGAATTCTCACAATCCCAAGGAAAAGGGATTCACTGAATCTGGAGGCAACCAATGGAAAACACTGCTTGTTAAAAAAGAAAGAAAAAAAGTTATGAGCCTAGGGTGCAGAAAACACTGTGCACTAATACAATTAATAGAATCATTTCCATATGATAGCTACCAAATCCACAAACCTGTTCACCAATGTTTAAGCCTCTGTTTATATACAACGGCATAAGTCATAAGCACAAATGGCTGAAAAGATCAGACTTTTTGACACACATCCTCTCCATGGGACCATACACAACATTGCTAGACTCCATATCAGATATTCATAAGAACAAGCTTTAATTCATTGACCTCATTATAGAAGTCGGCAATGGTTGTGAGGGAAACACACATTATAGTGGTTCCTAGAAAAAAAAGAAGAACAGGCAGGAAACAAACGGTTGCGACTTTCCGTCAAGCTCGCCTCCTCGCTCTCCATTGCTCTCCCTTTCAAATTAGCTTTTGCAATTGCAATGAACTAAGAGGCAAAGCAGTAAGACTGTGACTTGAGCAGGGGCATTCATCTTAGCCTTCTGCAAACCAACATAAATGCTTCATTGCAAATTCTAATTTCCCTGCACCCAGTGGTAATGTACTGCTTGCAGAGCTACTGAAACGGTATTGGGCTCATTACTCTCTTGACAAGGCTGAAGCGGATCAAAAGAAGGGAAGGGAAATCCAAGGAAGAATCAAGCTGAGTTCTGTTGAAAACAGAGACATGACAAATGAAGGTTATATATGGATAAAAAGCACCTACGAACCATCGTTGCGATTCAGATCCCTCTGCCATGCGGTTTGATTCTCTGCCACCCGGAAACATTAACTTATGTAGTCCATTCAATCCAGTAAATGAGCATGCCGAAATGGGTTTTTAAAACTGTTCCCAATTCCCACAGAAAAGGAACAGTAATACACTTGCTATAAGTTTGGCATGGGATTGCAGACTACGCTTATGACAGTTAATTCATCAGAAATACTGATTAAATATATGAAAACTAGGAAAGGCACTTTTGGATTTCAGATACAGTATAGTTCAGATTTATTCCAAACTAGGGGCATGCAAAACATTTCCAATTTTACTTCAAACCACCACCAGTTTGATTGAAAACCTTCTGCTTGGAAAAACAAAACTGTACTGAACTGAAAAGCAGAATGTTCAGAGTGAAATATTTCACACAGCGTCAATCCTATACCTATCCCCCCTCCCTCTCCTTCTCCCTCCATCCCTCTCCCACTCTCTCTCTCTCATGTATACATTGTTAAAATATTTGTGACTGGAGAGACATGGGAACAAGGTCAGCCAATGAATAGGCATAGCAACTAAGTCANTTTTGATAGACCAATTACTTGCCTTCTATTGGTCTACAATGAATGTCATTTTCCAAGACCAGCTATCTGAGTTTCACTGATGGCACAGAGAACACAGAGAGAAGGATGGCATCAAAGGAGACCAATCTTTGCTAATAGCCAGATAAAAACCATGGTCATTTTGATGCAATATAATAAGACAGTAAGGCAAATGATGTGCACAATCAGAACTTCATCCTGGAAATTCATTTCCAATCAGTATCTCTTGAATGAGCTGAACTTTTTTGCTGCAATACATATAAACCAGATCAAAATTACAGCTTAACGTGTGATTTGCATTCATATCAGAATGCTTGTTTCTGGGTTTATAAGTATTGGGTTTAAAAGAAAACCCCTTCCGCAATTCTGCATCTATAGCATTTACTGCATGCATTAGTTGTTGCAATGTTCAAATTACACATGCATATGATGAAACCAGGAGACATGGAAAAATAATTTTGGAGGAAGAAAGGAAAAGGAATAGGCAAGGATTTAAAAAATATGAAAAAGTAGTAAAGATAACACAAAGGGAAGACTAAAAACTTGCACGCAAGGCTTTCTTTCTATGATACACTGTGATGGTTCAACACCCTTAAGGTGTGCACACGCAAAGCAGTTCAAGAGTAAACTATCATTAAACTTGTTTTCTCATACATGCTGACTTAATGAGCTTTGTTTACTTTTGTATTAATGGGAAATATCAACCTAGATGCTAAGATCTTGGCTACTGTAAATTAGACTTATTCAGCAATCTATGGATAATAGCAACAATGGTTTCCACGACAGTCTTTTAGTAAAACAACCCTCTCTTTTAAGTCATGTTGCAAAGGCACTAACAGCATGCTCTACAAATTCTCAATGTATTTCTCCAGATTTAAAGTCATTTGCCCCAATGGCTTTGACTCTAGAACATGTCCTTCAAAAAGAAAAAAAAATTGTCTGGCTAAAAAGGGGTGACATGATCCAGACCTGACCCCTTTTACTTACTAATAGTTAAGACCCTGGAAGCATTACCGGTTCATCTTAAATAGCAAATTGCAGCTACGTATTTTATTTTAAACCCCTTTCTAATCGTTCTCTTCCTTCTCCCTTTTTCTCTGTTACAAAAGACTGCAGTACAGTAATGGAAATTTTTCTCTGAATATCCTATAATTTATTTTATCTTATTTTTATCTGTTTTATTTGTTATCCTTTATTATTTCCGTCCTCCTCCTTACCTTTGCATTCATCTTCCTGGCTTCCCTTCTAGCTGCCTTTTCTTTAAGCCTTTTTTCCTGTAAAGAACAAAATTAAATGTAAGAACATAAAACAGTGTAGAACAAAGCAGCAACTTGAACCAAAAATGGGGCTTTATGAAGAACCTTTTTTTGGACATGGCTACATATCACCCCCAATTAGTTTTTGTAGGCATAATAATGAATACGCGATCGGAAAGAGTTCCCATTTAGCCTTATTTTTAAACAAACGATTGCCTGTGCATTTATGCATTCTGTAATATTGGCTTAACATAAATGTAGACTGCAGTGTTTCTAAATGCTCTATCTATTTTTAATTTAGAGATAAGTAGAGAGATAAATATACAGACCAACGTTTGTCTCTCAGGCTGTGGCAGATTTTCTTTCTGATGTATAGGACCGTGAACCAACCACAGGATGACTGAACCACAGAATAGGACACCAATGTGTAAGTCTTCTGTTAGTAACTTTCATCTTTTCCAACCATGTAAGTGACAGCAGTGAACTCTCAACTCCATTAATGAACCCTTAAGGCTTCCATTATTCATTTTAGAGCTTAGGTCTCTTTTTCTATGGTCCACACAGAAAAACCATGGACTCTGTGATACACTGCACTTGTTATTTAGTCACCAAGTCTCTTCACAACCCCATGGACCATAGCACACCAGTCCTTTCCCCCCCCCCACTTCTGTTGTGGCCCGCCAGCAGAACTGGCANTCTGTTGGTATTGTACATTGATTCATCTCCTCTTATGTATATAAAGAAGTTAATGAATCCTGCTGCATCAGTTATCTGTGTGGGCTTCTGGATTTGAATTTATGCAACAAACTCTGACATACATGCATGACTGGAAACCTTTTTAAATTGTATCTAAGTGACCTATCAATTCTCCTTGGAAACTTTTAAATAGTATTTAATTAGAAATAATCAATAATAATGAACAGGGAGCACTCCCAAAGTCTACAATGGCATTCACCCAGGCTTCACCTCAGCTCTAGAGTCCAACTTTCTCCTTACTAACAGTACTTGCGTTTTGCCTGTATTTAATTTTAGTTTGGTCTGTCTCATGTAGTCCATTACGGAGATTAGGATATTACTTCCTTGGAGTTTGATTAGGGGATTACTTCCTTGGAGTTAGATGTTAAGGAACAGTATTTTTTTTTTACTTTATTTACTCAAATGTTTAGCTGCCAAACTTCAAGGTCCTCGGTGTATCATTAGCATAGTGGCAACATGCCACTCCAAAGATTCAAATGATGTCAGATGGGAAGAATCAGGACCAAACTTTAAATTCCAGTTAAGCTGATTTGTTGTTCATGCCTATACATAAGAATTTAATCAACTAATGGTCAATACTAAATTTGTGCTTTTCCAGAGCTAATGGAATGCAAGGTGGGCTAGTTTTGGATCACTTGTGAGGATGTAATGATTCAAGGCTGATTCCTCTATTGACTCCGTCCCCAGGCTCTGCCTTGTCTTTTCCTATAAATGACCTCCAATAGTAATTTTGAAATAGATTTTGTCACTATAGATCCATGATGGTGAACCTATGGCACACATGCCCAAAGTGGCAGATGAAGCCGTATCACCCGGCACGCACGGCCTAGCCTGTTCGTCTTGCAGGTTTCTGGTGTGCATGTGCACATGACGATCAGCTTTCCTTTGCACACGCAGCAGTGCCAAAAACCGATGTATGCATGTGCGCCAGCCAGTTGATTGTTGGATGTGCATGCATGCTAGAACCTGGAAATTTGGCTTTTTCAAAGCATGATCCCTTTGCACATGCGGCAGTGCCAAAAACTGGCTGGCACATGTGCACTGGCCAGCTGATTGTCAGCGGAAGTTCAGCTTTTCTGAAACGCAGCCCCGATGAGCGCAACGTTTCCGCATGAATTTTTCAGCACTCCGTGCCAAAAAACTTCACTATCACCACTATCACTTCTATAGCCAAAATAAAATACTATGGGATACCACGGGTCAATCAATGACTTAAATTTAGAACAACAGCTTCCACCTTTTAAATATGCTTCAACAAAAAAACCAGAATTACTGCAAAACTGTACCTCCTAAGCCCAATTCTGCTAGAGGATCCATGAAGATAATTATAGTCAGTGATTACAAGTATTTCCAAGTGGTCTCGGAGAACTTGTCATATTCCCTTGGTTTACACTCAAAAAAGTATTAATGTAGGAAACCTTAGCAGTATAATCAAATTATTTGTGCTTGATCTTACCTCTCCGTCATCGGTAAATACAATTTTTGTATTTACTTTAAAATTTCTCTTCAAAACCTTTTTAGCTTCTTTTGTTTTGGTTATTTTCTTCTTTGGTTTTACATTCTGGGTTACCTGAAAAATATGGAAAAGGAAAGACAACCGTTATCATAAACGATTCTGAAATTAGCATTATTCAATCAGCAGCATCCAAAAAAATCCTACCTTTCAGCATTTTTTAAATAGATACATTTCTAATCCTGCAAATTTTAGAAATACATGTTAAAGTGTGATGTAATGTCTCCAAAAAGAAAAGATAATGGGAAAATTTCTCAAGTCATTAATACATCAGACTGTTATGAGACAATGATACTATCTCATTACATTTGCAGTCTTACACTCTTAACTGAGCCAGAGAAAATCTAATAGTCTAGATCAGGTCTGTCAATCTTGTGGCCCACGGGCTGGAGGTGTCGCGTGCTGGCCAAGCCCACGCCCGGTTTAGCAAAGGGGGGGAACTCCCGATACGTCATGTGACGCCGCCATGATGATGTGAATTTCACTCCTGGTCTAGATCTCTTTTGCTTGGTAAGATTTAATTTTCAGCAAAGCATTTAAACATTTCACATATAACACCCTATAAAATATACAGTATGTTGAGTATTATAAGGCTTGCAAGTAAACATTATTTTTCTAATCCACAATTTTCCAATATGTTTTTGCTAGTTCCAACCACATTAGCTTTTCCCAAGAGTATTTATAATCGCTAGTTTGTTCCATACATAATTAATACTATTCAAACTACAATGATTAATACAGGTTACTTAATAGCTAAGAAGATATACAACAGAAATATCTTAGGGGCAACATAATAAATATCTAAATTAATAACTGGCAAAACATCTAAATTAATAAATCATAATGAATAACTTTTTATTAAACTCACAATGCCTTTCAATTTGTAGTACAAGCTCATCAATATCAGTTTTAAATTTATAACCCGTTCCTATTCAGGCCAGTTAAAAGTGGAAACAAAAGTTTAGATTGCTGAAATGGAAATTAAAAATGGAAAGTCAAACTTAAAATGTCCTGTATTTTCTCCTTTAAGATCTACTTCTTTATGTATGTCCATGTTTATGTGTGAGTTGAGGGATTCTCTGTTATTTTCAGAAAATGCTCTGAGGCAGTCTCTCCCAGGGAGAGAATGTTTCACTGGCATGTAATGCCATCTTAAACTGAATGTGTGGATTTTCCACAATTAAACATAGCTTCCAATGTGTTTGAAGGGGTGTCATGGCTCAGTGGTTAAAGTCACTGAGTTTGTCCCCTAAAAAGCTAACAGCCCAGGATTGAGACTCAAGTGACACACAACGGGGTAATTTTCCATTCCTTGCCCCAGCTTCTGCCATCCTAGTAGTTTGAAAGCATGCAAATGCAAGTAGATTAATAGGTACCACTGTGGAAAGATAACAGTGATCTCTGTGCCTTTGGCATATAGCCATAGTGGCCATGTAACTATGGAAAATGTCTTTGGACAATACTGGCTCCCTTGGCCAAGAAAGGGAGATGACCATCACGCCCCAGAGTCGGACATAACTGGACAGGGAAACCTTTACCTTCCCATGTATTCAGATCATGCAAATCCTCTTCAAATGTTAAAAGAGAATTCATTAAATTAAATTTGTACCAAATGCACAGGTACAGATTAGATCAAACCTAGCTCAACAACAGTAACTGTGAGAGGGACCTTGCAGCCCCAGTGGACAATCACTTAAATATGAGCCAGAAGCGAGGCAACAGCCAAAATAGCCAATGCAAACCCAGGTTGCATTAACAGAGGGATAAAATCAAGGTCACGTGAAGTGGTTTGTGAAAATTATTTGATCATAAAATACAGAATTAGCCCTGCTAGATCAGACTATCTGAGCCAACGATTTTGGCTCAGATAGTCCATCCAGGGATGGATCGCACAACTATGTTTAAAAAATATAGCCCATTGATATTTTTTTAACTTTTTCACATATTTTAACATACAGATATTTAAAATATAATATAATATAATAATATATAATATATAAAAAAGCAATAGAATCACAGAATCAAGAAGGAATAATGCAAGGACAATCAACTCATATATACAGATCAGTCAAGCAAAGCCACGCCCAGGCCCCGAGCCGTCTCCCATGGCTCACAATAGATCCTATTTCTTAGTCACAAAACAGTTCCCATTGGCTGACTTGTTGTTATGACTATGCCAGCTCATAATTTCTTATACATTGACAAATGGAAAAAGCTACATGACTGTTTCTNTATCTATCATATCAAATTCCTTAATTATAACTAGGACCATAATTCATTTTTACAGCTATTTTGGCATGAGCTTTCAAAACCAAATGACTCAACCATGCCCTAAATTGAAGTCAGCACATGCTTTACATCTATAAGAATGTTCTACAGTGGTTCTAGAACATTCTAGGCCACCTGAAGACATGTGAACTTCAACTCCACCAGCTGGCTGGGAAATTTTGGAAGCTGAAGTCCATACTTCTTAATGTGGCCAAGGTTGAGAAACACCTCTGTAAAGAAGAACTACCCCAAAATAAAAATATCTCTTCCTGACTGATGTCAAATGAATGGCTTTTAAGGATGATCACAGTAGTCAGGCAGATCTATATGAAAGAAGACAGTCCCCCCTGGTTAATACAGTTTCAGCAAATTAACAGTCTTTGAAAATGGACACATCTTAGTTTTTCAAAGCTTACAAGCATTTTGGGGTGAGACTATTAGTTATTAGCAGCAGCATGTGCTATTTCCTACGTTTAACCAATCTTCATTAATATAAACAAGAAAGAGATATCGTATAGGCCAATGAAACAGTTCCTCTTGCAATATTGCAAGGTTCAGAAATAAGGTAATGAAGGACCAGAATAAAGTGTGTCCTTGGCACTGGCCCAAGGTACTTCATACTCCCCATTTTGATTTGGCCTTAGATGATCAAAGTGTGCATACAAGAAAAATAAGCACAAATTGTAATATTGCATATCATCACTGAGTAGAGGTATATTTTTAGATGACCTATTTTCCTATCTTCTTAGATGTTCATCAGCATGAGAGATAGTCCTAATGTTGGTCTTAAACTGGCATTAAAACACATAAAGACAGAGAATGAGAGGAAGGGAGAAAGGCAGGGAGAAAGAAAATCTTGAATGTATAAAATAGATTTATTGTGAATTTTATTAACAAGAGATCAATGAATCAGGGTGAATTCCAAACTTGCAACCATATAAAGAAGTTGCATCTTTGTGGATTATACTGTGGTGTTCTATTCTTGTCCTAACATCTTCAAGTATGTCCTGTCAATACCAATCTTCATCTCAATCCCAGTTTATCAGTGAAGCTATCACCAAAGATGTAAATTTTTACTAGGTGTCCAACAGTGTTAAGATTTTTAAGATTCCACTTTAAGCTGCCACTAACCTCCTCGGCTTCAAGGTGTGTAAATCTATAATACTCTGCCACTATTATCTTAAAGATGAGATCAGCTACCTTGTTGTGCATATGATTATATGTGCATTATGTGATAGCTGTGAGATGTGGGTCTGCCCTCTGAGCTTTATTATCCATTTCTCTTCTAGCACTTAACATCATCTAACACTGTTTCCTGAGTTCACGTCATGCCTATCAGCTCCACACCCTTAGTTTTTTTTAATTCCAACTTTTCCCTTTCAACAAGATAGAGGAGAGCAGAGTTCCACTATTTTATTTAGGAAAAAAGGAAGTTTGTGGACTTGCAGGAAGATATTTCTGCCTGGGGAATCAGAAAGAGTAATATAACTACTTGTCCAGGATCAGATTTATTATGACATAAGGTTTCATGGGATGAGTACACATTTTTATCAAATGTAATTGGCGCTGGTTCATAAAAGTTTATGGAACAACATATTTGAGTTGCTATAACTCTCTATAGATTCTCTCTAGAATAACTTGGCATGTAAACCCACACAATCAATCTTGAAAGGATATTACTTTGGTGTTTACCAGATAATACAGATTTAGAGTTGCAGTGTTGGCTGTGTTGTTTCAGAAAAGAGCCAATTTTCTATGGTTTCACTTGCTCAGACTTGGTTGAAATACTCCCTTTAAATGGTTAAATTTCTTTGGCACTTCACTACAGCCAATAACAATTTTGCACTGACTGCTTAGACAATATCTGTCATCTGGCTAATGGTATGAGGGACAAAATTTAGATATTGATCTGTAAGTCAGATACTAGCTTCAAAGGTCAAATATTGACTTACAAAGGCAAGTACTGAAGTCAGCATTCAACTTTCACTAGGCACACCAACCCCATATACTGAAATTTTGCCTCAGCTGTTTCCCAGTGAAAGGCTAATATTATCATAATGTCCTTACACCATAACAAGCAGCCTTTTGCTTTGATCAGAGTACACACTGTTGTCAGCGTCATTAATACAGAAAAACATTCTATACATGCTTGTGTATGCATTGTAAGTAATATTCTCTTTCTGCATTCTGATTTGTTTTTTGAGGTAATTTTACTATTTTTGTAGGCTGTTACTTATGCATTGTCCCTCTCTCCTATCATATTTTGGAGTCTTAGCTTTCATTCACTTGAAGACTTTCAACATCTCCCACTACTCTTGCTTCCTGTTTTGCTACCTAAAACTCTCAGTTTCTTAATTTATCCTCTCCTACTTTGTGGCAAGCCTAAATTGATTATTATAATGATACTTTCTTAGCATATGTGCATATGACATATAATTATGTTAGATATGCATCATATATTATTTGATTTTGGAGACCATATATTTGCATGTTGAATGTAATGGTGGTATGAGTAATATTTTATTATATAAGGAATATGTCTCCTATTTTTTTCAAAATTATAATTTAATGATAACATTTGAAGAAGTCTAAGAGGGCTGCCATCAATTTTTGGAGAAGCCACCCTTATAAGTATTCCAGTGTAAAATATAGAAAGAATGGTGTGTTTACAGATTCATTATACTTCTCTAGTATAATATAAGCAATTATACTGATGTTTCTAAGGGGATTCTTTAGCAAGTGAGATGATAAAATTTTACTTTTATTCAGGCCAAGTACTGTAGAAGTCAACACCATTAATACTATATTTTACACTGGAATACTTATAAGGGTGGCTTCTCCAAAAATTGATGACATCCTTCTAGACCTCTTCAAATGTTACCATTAAATTATAATTTTGAAAAAAATAGGAGACATATTCCTTATATAATAAAATATTACTCGTACCACCATT